TCATAATACTTAAGAATTTTTTGATTATATTAGAGAAACAAGTTACCCTATCTTCTTATACAAAAAATCACCCAGTGACATATCTGAAATATAAGGCGGCATTATAAATTAGCAAAATGGGACAACAAGCACTTCCTGGAGCAAATTATACGTGATACACCCACAAAGGTTATGTGAAATGGCAGGTCGATGATAACAACTTATAAAGAGATTAATACATAAACGTTTAGATCGAATTTTTTGCCTCAATTTCAATAAAAACTCTTTCTAGTTCATAGTGGAAATAATTTAATGATACCCTAATCAAATGTGTTCTTACTAATTAGTCCTGGTATTTTACAATATTTTCTTGTCGGTTATACCGACACCTTACAAGAGTATATTTGTTACAAATCACATATTGATATAATATAAGTAGATATCATGAAATTAATATGGTTTTAATAGGTTTTGATATAGGTAGTCGGCAAATTCTGAACTGCGTCGTAGCCGAAGCCATTAACATTTACTCGTGTATAGAAGCAATTCGTATAAAGAACTGAACAAGATTTAATTTCTATTATGGATGAGGGATGAGGTATGTAAGAAGTGATGGCAAAGTAATCTTCCTGCTTTTTGTTTATAAAACAAAATTAGATATCTTAAGTTAGTATCTTCTATCACTTTAAAAACACAACTCAAAATAACAGAAAGAAGACAATTACAAAGTTAAAGGGACATTGACCCACAAACCATTCTGACACTCAATAAAGACATATCGAAAGCTGTAAGAAGAGATATTAGGAAATTTAAACATGAAAAAATCGTACAGGTTCAAAACCAGGGATCTGAGGACATTCCAGAAATTACTTAAGATGAGATACAATATGCACTCAAAAAAATGAAAACAACAAGGCGTCAGGAGATGATGGAATAGTTACAGAAGCTATAAAACTTGGCGGAACTTCTCTTCTGAAAAAAATACGAGACCTATTCAATATCTGCTTGTATAGTCAAAAAATTCCTATAGCTTGGAATAACTCCATTACAATTCTTCTGCATAAAAAGGGTGACAACATGAACCTAGAGAATTACAGGCTAATTTCTCTACTCAACCATTTATACAAACTGTACACCAGAATGATAATGAATCGATTGGAAGCAAAATTTGAGCTATATCAGCCAAGAGAACCCAACTAAGGTACAAATGACCACCTACAGTGCATAAAAGTCTTGATTGAAAAATCAATTGAATACAATAGACCTCTAGTTATAACATTTATAGACTTCCATAAAGCGTTTGATACTATCGAACTACCCGCACTTCTAAAGGCATTGGAAGAGCATCGAATTGATCATAGGCACACCAATATTATAGAAAATATATACAGAAATGCTACAACAATTATAAATCTGCACGGTCCTACGTTGTAATCTAAGTTGTTCATTACTGTACTTGAACATGTTTTGAAGTCACTGGAATGGGAAAGTAAAGGAATAAATATTGATGGTGAGATGCTTATTCATCTACGATTCGCAGATAATATTGTTCTGATTTCAGATGACCTAAAGGCTGCCAGTGATAAGTTGAATGAACTCAACGATGCAGCACGTAAAGTAGGTCTAAATAATTAACTACCAAAAGACAAAAATGACGACTAATTTAGTTCCAAGCCATCCTTTAAGGGTAGAAGACGTCGAAATTGAAATTGTTGACAGTCGCTAGAATGAAGGATAATAGGTGGACCAAAAAAATCTTTTAGTGGAGACCGAGAGCGGATAGACGAAACACGGGAAGACCAACCACAAGATGGACTGACGACATAAAGAGGATTTGTACCAACTGGATTGCAACAGCGCAAGATAGATCTGATTGGAGGTTTTTCGAGGAGGCCTATGTTCAGCAGTGGACGATTATGGGCTGATGGTGATGATGAAGTTAGTATCAACATCATTTAAGACAAATTTAAGAAGGTTATGTAAAAGTATTTGATCGCAGTAACAATAAAAGATATAAATATCGATAGAATGAAGAAGGTCAAACAAAATGTAAATGTTTTGAATATGCTTAGTAAACAAAGACCAAAAGGTTGAAATGCCTCAATTACCTGAAGTTAGTTTGGTTAAAGAATGCAGAAATACAGTCAGTACAGGTAAAATATTTGATAAATCTTTAAAGAATATGGATGAAATATACACAAGAAATTGGTGGGTGGAATGTATCAAAGCAGACCAAAGAAACTTTAACACTAAGAATTAAACACAATGAAGCACTGAACATTAAAATGCATAAAGTATGTATGTATAAATGTGTGTAGGGGCGATCGAGGACAGTTGTAATAATTATTGCACACTTCATCGTGATTCTTAAGCACAATATTATGCAATTTTGGAAAACATGCCCTGGAGGCAATGGCAACAAACTTTGGGACCATTGTAACAACTTGATATATATCACAAAAACTAAAAAAAATAGTAGATAGGTATATAATGTATAAAGAGACCAAAAAATACCTTACCAATTACGTGTGAGCGGAATGGTAGAACAAAAGCCATTAACGAAAAGTATCACAAAATATCATTAAACACTCGTATAGAACAATGAAGTTTTCATGAATGTCAATGTATTTGACACGCGTATCGTGCAAACACGAGGTCTTCAAAAAGTAAAAGAATTAGTTGTATTAGAAACACAGGACACAAGTCTATATACAAATATAACTGTAAACGACTAATGCACAGAAATAAACTCGACGAAACTAGCAAAAAATAATGAATCTATATATGATATTAACATTTTGATAACTTCAACAAACAGGATAAATTATTGATCAATGGAACGAAGGTAAAAGTTAGGTAGATGGAAACAAAAATATTATCAAAGACAAGGAATAAGAGATAATTTAGAGAACAAAGCAAGATCTTTAACAATTAACTATTTATTAAGTTTAAAAGTATGCCCATTCCTTTAAATATATATTACAGAGAATATCAAACAAGATAAGACTTGAGGCGATGTTACCTACAAAATATAGCTTTGAATGGGGAGCAAACACGAAAACTCTGAGAAAAAGATAATATCTAACAATGAAAAGCCAGAGCCAATGAAAAATGAAAAAGACAACTGAAAATAATATTAACGAATGTAATATTACTGCAAAATAAAGACAAATATTTATCAGTTCCACGTTTTCTTAAATGGAACCTGCACATTGTAAAATCGCAAGAGCAACATATTGAGATAATCAGAAAATATTTTATGGCTGTATCTATTTGAACAAAAGATTACATATAATAACATTAATCTACTTACAAAACAGTCTTTGTTGAGAAAACACATGAAAATACTAAAATTACTCGAAGTAAAAGCACCCACATTTTGCGAAGACGACGACAAAATATCTATACAGCCAACCACGCTCAAACCGACTTGTTCTAATTAAAGTAGATGACACGTGGAAGCACATAAAATAGAAGAAGAAGATATCTGCAACCGGAAACAACATAAAATCCTGCATTTCTTGATGGGTATAACTAGGAAAATTACTAAAATTACTGAAGTTCATTAATAAAATAGAAAGGGACTACTATTTGATTGCATTCATGATTAACGATGCAAATACTGATATAACGAGGATGTCCCAAAAAAAATGTTGATACTTAAAGTACCTATTATTCTGCTAATACTTAAAATTGAATAAGAGTCAAATTATTAAAGTGATTCATTTGTCTTAAGTGAGTTTGGCTGAAAAATGTGTATTTAATCGCAATAATAATAACAGATTTCAATATCGCTAGATTTCTGAAATTCCAAAGATAAAGCAAATCAAAATTTTTAAAATATGAGTAATAAAGTAGTTTGAACTAAAGGTTAAAAATATATCTGAAAAGATCTAAGAGAAAATCTAGAGAGAGATGGCTAAAGAAAATTCGAGACAGCTTAATGCAAATTTAAAAAAAAATGAAGAGCAAAACAGGAAAATATACTGCAATTATACAAGACAAGGAATAACTTACCACTTATAGTAGAGTTTCATATTAAAAGCGATTCAATAAATCAGAAAATATCACTAAAAAGTTCCGTATCCAGAAAAGATGTTGTATTGTTCCGAACAAAAAGTAATTAAACATAATAAAATAAATGCTTACAAATCACTGTTAGTTGTGAAAATACATGAAAATACTAAAATTAGTTAAAGTAAAAATATCCACATTTTCGGAAGACGATGGAACTTCTACACAGCCACCCCCAAGCCTATATGCTCTAATTAAATAGCGTGACACGTGGAATCACAGAAAATAGAAGAAGAGGATTTATCCAACCGGAAGCCACCCAACGTTTCGAGTTTCTTATAATATGTACTAAGAAACTATCTAGGAAAGTTACTGGAACTTCATTTTATAAAATAGAACGGATTTACCCCCCAGAAATTTGACACATTAATTAATTCTTTTATATCCTATAATAAAATAGGGATTTCATGTGTATATAACTTATCAAATAAATTAATTATGAAAAATAAATACTGATGAAATTTTTAAAATTCCATGTTAAAGTTTTTAATGATAATGCATAAACCAAAAAAAAATGTAAGGGGAAACCTATATAATAATCACGCTTGTTTCGTACGAATTCTAAATATTTTAAAATGCAACAATTAATATATATATATATATATATATATATATATATATATATATATATATATATATATATTTACCCAAAATTATTTTTCAAACGGTAGCTTCTTTGATAAAAAATAAATATGTTCTTAAAAATCATTAATTATGATTAATATAATTAAAATCATTGACACACATAAAAATATTAATAAAAAATTGTATTATAGTAATAACACAAATAAAAACGTGGTTGCAAATATAAAGAAATAAAAAATGTACATAACTCTTCGAAAAAATATTCAAATTTGACTATTTAATAATAATTTTATTTAAAAAAAAATGGCAAAATTTAGCAAATACAATATAGTTACTATTAAATAAATAATCAATCGACTTACCATTTTAAATAAAGGTATAAAAGATAAAAAACTATTACGAAACAAAAATAATATCACAGCACGCGTTTCCAAGCTCTCGTTACGAGTCGCTAGTCGAAGTTAAAGTGACTGTTCACTTCTCTAGATTTTATAATCTGCCGGCTCGAGTGTTCTTGATGTTGAAGAAAGGTAACTCATTGGTACATATGGGGCGGTGGTGGGGACATAAAGGACTCATTACATTGGGTCTTATGTGATATCTGGAATAGACAAGTTCTAGCCTGATGATTATTTAACGGATAAAAAGTTGGTTTAATTAAATTTAGGTAATTGTTGCAGAATGGTAGCAAAAAATTATATCCAGCAGGCACGATAATCATGTGGATATTAGTTTTAGTATTAGAGATGCAGTAGTTGCTGCAGGAATAGGAAATTCAATAGAAAGTCTAATTACATCTAAAACATAATCAGTTTGCGGAGTTTGGTAGGGTAATTACACGTACTTTAAAAATAAATACAGTTAATGCTTTAGTAATAGGAGTTGGAAGGAAAAATTAAAGTGCAGAATTGTAGATAATGATAGGAGAATACCGAGAAGGTTACCTAAACGACAACGGTACGCGTTTTATAGAACTAATGCATTTTGGTTGAATATTTTACTCATAAAAGAATCCACAAACAGACGTGAATATAGACAACAAAAGGTTTAAAATGTATCATTCATTACTACTTAAACAGTTTTTACGGAAAATGTTGTACGGAACCCAACGACAAAATGGCGGAAACAAATCAAGTTAATGAAACCAATTTCTGTTTACTCAGAATAAAATTTTTACTAGAAAAAGCAAGGTGTCTTAGTTGTACTTTCCCAAGATGAAACTGTAGATGATGCCGCTCGAGTATTTTATAAGAAAAACTATGAAAGCCCGGAATTTAATTGTGAAATGTTTGCATGACAGTGTAGGTACTGGAAATGGTTAAATCAAATACATCAGCAAAAAAAATTAAAGGTAAATTGGAAAGTGTATACCAAAAGAAGGGAATTTCGACACAGGTTCAACTGCAGCAGAAACTAAGATCATTCAAATACGCAATAATATCTTTAAATATGTTTTTAACATAATTCAAACTGTTTGGGAACTTAAAAGTATAGGAGGTCCAGTACAAGATAGTGAAGTTGTATCACAGTTACTCTCTCCAGTGCCTGAAGCATATCAAACGGTTATCACAGCAATTAATATTATGTTCTGCCAAGATGAAACATAAGTTACATTAGATTTTGTTAAAAAAAGCTACTGATGAAAGAGATCATGCAAAATAAAATTGATCATGAAACAAATTCTAATGTTGGATTTGTAGAATCACCCATGGAATAAATGGAAGAATAAAGCTGGAACCAGTGATGGTTATGTAATAAACAATAAACCATTTCAATTTAAATGCCATATCTGGAAAATGGAGTATAAGCGATATAAAGGTTGGAAAAACAACATTGTAAATAGAGTACTCCCTGTAGAAAATGGTCAAAAGGTAACACTCTTGACTACAGAGGAAATCATTTTAGTTACCAATTCAGAATCTAGTGAAATAAATTTTATAATAGACGTTGGTGCTACGAATCACTTTACGAAGGATTCTGAAAGGTTTTTTAGATAATATCCACAAAGTAATGTACAACATAAATGTGGCAAAGTAGGGTCCATTATTGGTGACAACAAAACATTGTGGTTTAAATCTACAAGCATCAAACGATAAACAAATTTATATGAAAAATGTATGGGTATGCAATCAACTTTCATATAATTTCATTTTTGTGTTCTACTAACTCACTAAAACTCTTCAAAAAGAGTTTTAGTGCGTTAGTGGAAAGGAGGAAGGGCAGTGCTCCTAGCACCTCCATGTTACAGCCGCCCTTGGTAAGTATGAGTCAGAGACAAATCTACTAGCAGCTTTATCAGTAGGACATTTTCTTGATGATATTTGTGAAACCTTCGCTGAAGCAGCCAAAGATTTTTTTTTGATAAATTATTGTATATGTATCTAAAAATTGTTATGTATGTAAAATATGGAAATAGTTTATCTCAGCGAGTAGTGTACGTAGAAGTTCCTCGGGGATCCCATATTGGGCCTCTATTATTTAATATATTTGGTAATGATATATCGTCACTCTTTAAAAGTATAAAAAAAATAGTAGGTTTTTAAAGTTTGCTGACGACCTTAAAATATTTCGAATAGTTAATAACCTAGTTGATGCCACTTTCTTACAAAATGATCTTTGTTTGTAAGTTGGTGTGATGTAAATATGCTTTGTTTAGTTAAATATAACAAAATGGGAGTTTGTAAATTATATAAACAATTTACCTTTAGAGGAACGTACTAATATTACAGATTTGAGTGAGTTTTATTCTTAGAAATGTTAATCAGTTTTCAGTACAAACTTTAAAAATTTTATATTTCAGTTTAGTTCGACCAGTTTTAAAGTATGGTTCTCTCATTTGTTCTGCTTCATATAATGTTAATACCTACAGTATCGAGAGAGTTCAAAATAAATTTTTGGGGATATGTGCTTACAACATTTTTTTTTATTAGACAGCAATACATATATTATTATAACGGCATAATTTCAATACTTAATATCTCGTCACTACACCATAAGGTTTGGAGCAGATTTGGGATTCTGTTATAAGATTAGGAAAAGATATTTTCAAATTTCAAGGTTATTAAGTTTAATAAGTTCTGATGTTGATGTGATTTTCAACATTTCGTTTCATACTACAAACTGTGACCAATATGATGATGATTTACAAGCATTTTAAAATCTGCCAATGAACACAAAAATGTTTAGAGTTATTTGGAATATCAAAAACATTTAAGAAAGCCATCTATTAAGAAATTTAGAAGCACAACATTTAGAAAACAAATATATATGACCACATAAAATTAAACATTACAACATGTATATTTATGCTTTATTTACTAGAGCTTTTGATATAGCGATCTGGAGAAAGATCTGATAGATTTGATCCAAAATAGGAGTCTGCCATCATATGATATTATTAATTAGAAAGTTGTACATAATGAATTTATACAACGGCAACATCACAATCAGGATAAATGGAGAAATGATTGAAGAAGTTACCAATGTTACTAAAGGAGTAAGACCATATTGTAGTTTAAGTCAAATTATATTTAAAATGGTGAATGCGTAATGCTAAATGCTACTTAAAGATGGCACGATAGTATCGAGTTTAAAGGAAGCAACACTGTTTCTGAAATCAGCAATTGGATAACCCAAAGTCACGAAATCAAATTTTTGTAGAAGCTGGAAAAAGATCAGCTGGAAAGCTGAAAGCTTCTGTGGAAACTGGAAAAATATTTTCGGACTGTTAAACTGCAGTAGATACAAACTTATATAGATGAGGCTAAAGTTGAACATCAAGAAGATCAAATGGTAGTAGTGAGCAAGCAGAGAAGATATTTTTTTGGAAAAGTATGTTGAAAACTTCTTGGGTAGTATATAGGATAAATGCTTCAATTTTGCTTGATAATTGCGTGATATTGAAACAAATAAAAAATAAAAAATGGCCCCAAAACCCGTAACAGAACATAGTGTAACAATTTTTCTAGAAACTACTTCCTGAAAAAACTTTTTTTTAATAAATAAGTCGCTCTTCAACATATAAAACTTTATTTATTCCTTCAATTTATACAAAAATGAACAAATTACCGCTTGTAATAAATAGTCACTGTAAATAAATACTATACTACACTAGTATGTTTTTATATAATTCTAGAATTTACTAGATCTTTCTTTTTATTCTTTTTGATATGTTTGGTCGTTGTGTTTATTCTAGAGTATTCTAGCGTGTTCTATTTTTAGTATTCACAACGTTGTATAATTAAACTTCCAGCTGCTTTACATAGATACGTAGGTATATCGGTTATAATATAGCACCCTATTTTGAATACTTTTTTTAAATAAAAGATTGTGAACAACCTGATTCTGAAAAGGTGTTTCTAGACATAATTTTAAAATTTCACAATCTTTTATTCATAATAGATCTAACACGATATGGTTCGTTGAGATCAGATTATTAAGGAGCTTTTAAAAATATAAAAATGTACAAGATGTTAAATTTAAAAAAAAGCTTTCGGACGATGGTGGCTTCCGTGAGTCACAGTGTATTTTTAAATGTATGTGTAAAAAGCGCATTTTTATATATAAAAGTAGACGACTCTCGATTTTTTAAAACAAGGACAGAAATAATTTTATTCCAAAAGTAATTTCCACCCTTTATATAGGAATGATACCTCGCACAACTTTTTTGAAAAATATTTGTTCTATTTCTCGACAATTGTCTTATATACTGAACATTTCATTATCCGCGACTTCGTTTCATATTATATATTATCCAACTGCTTGGTAGCACAAACGAGTCTGTCAAATTTCCAGGCTATACTTCAATCTCATGAGGATTTAATAATTTTTAAGCGTTTTTTTAGCGTTTTCGCCTGTGTGTCGTCCAGATACCTGTGTTTAGGTCGCCCCTTCTTCTTCTTCCTATTTAGCATGGTTATGGTTATGCAAGAATAAGAAGCATAAAAGAATAATACTGGAAAAGATTCACGAAGGAAATTAAAAAAAGACTTTTATGGTAGCCAAAAAAGAATGTCCAAACACTAAAATTAGAAGAATATAAAATTACTTCAGTCTGATATCCATGAAGCGTTATTACACAATCAAAAATTACTAGCTGTCTTTATTGATATCAATAAAGCTTTCGACACTGCATTGAAATATAACATCTTAAAAACACTACAAAAATTTGAAATTCAGGGTCACCCACTAGCTTTTATACAAAATTTCTTAACTCATAGACACATTGAAGTAGGAGCTAACGGTTATAACTCTAGTCCACGCTTTCTTGAAAATGAAATTCCGCAAGGCTCGATTTTAAGCCCAAGATTGTTTCTGAATGCAATAAATAACAACTTGGACGAAATGAGATTACCGATTAAAGCCTATTTATACGCAGACGACTTGATTATCTACCACAAAAGCAGAAGTGTGAAATGTGCGGCTGAAGTAATATAGAAGTTTTTACACAGTCT